TATGCACTTAATGAATACATATTATTAAAATCTGGGCTATAATGGTTGTATTGATGTATAGCAACTTGAAATGCTCCCAAAAATGGCTCCACAGCAGGTAAAAATATAATATAAGCTCTGGCGGACTTGGTTCTATGGTAGGTCTTAAAGGGTTAAACTTTCCAAGCCCCTTAAAAGCGACTTCATCTTTCATGGTGAACCGTGTTGTCACTAGGTTGCGCCGTTCAGTTTAAAGTCACAATTTTCGCACTGAAGCATCACGACGGACTCATGGTCACCACTTTTGAGGTGTCCATGATGAACCTGTGAAATCAGTACAACAAAGTGAAAGACATGACATTTCCTGTTGCCACTAGGTGGCGCTCTGCATATTCCTGACGATGGGCACTTCAATCTGTTCAGGGCAGGTCTGACATCATGCCTGTAAAGTCTGGTACTGATCAGACTGGATTTCATTGAGTTATACTAATTTGTTTCTTCATGGCGAGACATGAAAGTTCGCCATGCTTCTGGGGTCACACCCTTACGCGAAAATTCACAGTTTTCACTGTAACCCAAGACCAACTGCTTAAGGCTTTCCTGGAGAAATTTGAGGCTGCAGATGTCACCCAAAGTGTAAAACATGACATTTCCTGTTCCTACTAGGTGGCGCTCTCCCTGGTGGCAAATATGGCAGTTGAAATATGTTCAGGGGTGGAGCCTTATCATATGTGTGCTCTTTGGACCAGATCAGACAATGTATGACAGAATGAGAAGCAATAAGATTTTCATGGCGAGTCATCAAATGGCTGCTTGCGCATGGCTGCTGATTAGACCTTGTGTGCAATCTACAGCTAAGCGTGGCCTGGTGCGCACTGCTCCGCCAGGTGAGCTGAATTAGAGCAATCAAGGCCTGGCGTGCCTAGTAGACCTTAAAATGCATGCAGCAGTCATTTGACCTGGGTATGACATACTGAGAGGACAGCAAACAAAGCACAATCCACTTTTCACTGTGAGGAAGACTTTGAGTTAGACGGGCTATCGGTAAGCTCTTGGAGTCATATTTGCTGCTTATATGTTGGTGAACTATGGAAGCTCAATTGTGGAAATGTATTTATGCTTTGCGAAATAGTTACTGCATTTAAGTTTAAAAAATTATATTGATATTAAAATGAATGTTTAAGTTTGAATAAATTGTTTATGTAGATAGTGTTCCCACATATTTATTTTATTAATACTAAAAATAGTTAGCCAAATCCTTGGTTAAATCTTAAAACTAGTGTAAATATGTTTGGTTTAATTTAAGGAAAATAATTCTTTGTAAAAGAAAATCCTTGGTTAAAGTCTCTATTAAAATATTTGCAAACTCTAAAA